TTTAATAATATATTTTTTTATATTTCATAAATTTGAATAAAATAATTTTATGTACCCTTTGTCTATTAGACATATATTATGTTACGCGAAATATGTATTATACGTAAATCTTGTTGGCTCCGAGTATAAATTAGATTTTAAAATAATTTTTACTTAACTAATTTAAATTAATTAAAATAGCTTTAAATAATAAAATAGGAATTTATCTGCTACTTCAAAAGAATTTATTTCTATATCATTCTCAATTCCCAGATGTTCGAAGAAAGAAGGAAAAGCAAAAATTTTCCGTATTGTAACATAATTAATCTATTCATGCTTAAAAATGTATTTGGCAGTAATAACACACATAAACACGGTTTTTCAAAATTTGTCTGCACGTTAAATATGTATCATCACTAATATTAGCGTCGTTAACAGGACACAGTTTCACTCTCTAACAAAATTAATATTTCATAAAAATTATACACAGAATATCAAGATTACGTTACTTTTAATTAATTCTCTAACAACCATCATGATTGCTGACGAATTCTCAACTGTAACTTTACACGAGTATCATTTGTATCAAAGATGTTTAGGTATGTCTTTGTTTATTTTGAATTTGCAAACTCGAAATATCATATTATCAGCTTACTAAAAACTCTTCGGTAACGTAAATAAACAAATGGATTCTAATAACAAATCAACAATTACCAGTCACGTTACAATATTATACTTTACAATACAACGACGACGATATTATCGATAGGAACGTTGTTTCTTCGTTGGAATTTTCGGAAAATCCAACGACGCGAACGAGCGATCGATGGATCGATTGGGTGATGCTTACCTTTATGCACGACCGGATCAACTAGACGTAAGTCGAGAGCAGCAGAGGAACCATATAATAGATCACATGGAGATGATAGTCGTACACGATCTTGCACTGCGTCCTCTTCTTCCGTATGGCTACTGCAGCGTCCTCGGCTTTCGATCGTTTCTGTTTTATTCGTCGATACAAAGAAAAACACCGCAAGAGAAAAGATCTACGGGAAAGGTTTACCGTCTCTAACTCATTTCACGAGCGCTGGACCAGACCCTCGCGCTCAACTATGCTGCTTCTCGGGCACTCTCAGCGGTCCGTTGCTCTTTCTCTCTCTCTCTCATTCCACCTCCTACCTTCTTCTCAGCTCAGTCGTACTACGGCTGGGACTTATAGGGTTCCTCTTTTCGCTCGTGTTCATCGTGTCTCTGTCTCACGAGACCTGTACTCCCGCAAGATCCTTGCTTTAGGCCCCGTTGTTGCCAGATCGTCCGTGGATCACACGGTCGAAAAGCGTCCATGGTGTTACATTCTCGTGAGAACTACATTCTTCCACCTCTTCTGGTTTCATTATATCTTTATAATTTATCGTGTACATACACAAATTTATAGCAGTCTTAATATATTCGGAATTAATACCTATTTGAGAAATTAATTAGAATTCAATTTTTTAGTGTTAATTAGAGATCAAATTTTCATATTAATTATACAAGAAAAATAGTATATGTATGCTTAATCGTGTAAGAGGAATTTAATTCTTATAAAGTTCAGTCAGCAATCTATTTGCAACCGCACTTTATGTTTCTTTCTGAAAGAAGTTTTGCATACCTTCGAGTTTGACGTTATATGACAGAAAATATATAGTTTGAAGCCATTTCGAAAATGACTTTGCGGTTTTGTTGAAGCAATCTATACAATGCGGTTCCATTTATTCCTCGAATCAGGAAGACCTGTGCTTGCTTTTATCACCGTGTATTAAACTTTCTTCCGATTTAGAACCAATTGTTGGAAACCACGGAAACGAGTGTTGTCGTGCACGTTATAATTATAATTTTAGTATTCTTACTTGATCAATTATATAATTAAAATATTTTCTTATTAATTATTTAAGGCAAATGAAATAGATATTACAATTATAAGAACATTACTATTTTATAAAAGCGTGTGAGGAAATAATAAAAATAATGATCAATAGTAAATTTTTAGGTCCACTTTAGACAATCTACAATTTGCGAGAAAATTTGAAATATAATTCTATCGATGTGTTTTATATGGTCGTATAATACAGAAACATTGGACAAATAAAACACACCCATAAATACAAAATACATACATACATTATAGACAATATGAAGCATAAAATTATAAATAGATTTCTGTCTTGAATTGTGTCGTAAATTAAGCTCGTCTAAAGTGGGCTTTAAATATATAAAGAAAGATTTTTTAAAATAAATTCACTTTTAAAATATCATCACACATTTGCATTAGAATATTATATTTTGTAAAAAGGATTCATGTGTGATACACAATAGAGTGATTATTTTTTATTATTGACTAGAAAATCAATTTGAAATCTGAGCCGATCAGATTTTTAAAATAAAATTGGTAATATCTTAGCTGTTTATTCTTTTCCTGATTTTCTCACACGCTTTTCTCAATGGGTCGCTTTCTTCTTCTGCAACTCGGCAGATATTGAGGTTGTCGCATCGTCAGGTATAGTATGAACAAATACAAAGTCGGTTGAGGGTATGGAGAACCGGTCTTGTCAGATTGAAAGAAATCATCGATCGACGGTAAAACAGCCTTAAAATTTTCACGATCCTCCATAGATGTCCAACATTGATCATTGATTGCACGGTTAAATCGTGTAATAAATATATGGATTATTTTGTGAGATAATTGATTTTACTATCGCTATGCAATCTGAACAATTGAAATGATATCAGTTATTTGTCAATTATGATATCTTTCGTAGATATATAAATTTTTTTAATTTGTTTTTTTTTATGTTAACATAATATTACTAGAAAAAATATATAGTCTAATTATTTGAAATAATAAATAAATAAATTGTTCCAAATATATTTAACATAGTTTAAGATCAATTAGATTAATTATTATATGCAAGGATCATTGCAAAGATTATTCTATTTAACTGCGCGTTTACTTGGCACTATCGTGTCTCTTGATCGAAATTAGCGCACAAATAATTCTATTGACAAAATTATCGCACAAATGAGGCTCGCCAAATCATCGAGACTGCAATGCGCAATACCGGTAACGCCTAAATCTTTTTTCTATCGAAACAAAGTCACAGCTGACATGTAATTATTGCGTAATGATCTCCTGGGGCAAAGATCAATGGCAATTGTTCGCATCTCTGCAAAATTTTCCTAGCCGCTAACAAAAGTTGCCGCATTATAACTTACTGTGACGATGGGAATTGTACGAGGCACAATAACAGGCAAGACAAGAGACATAAAAGAAAGAGAGACGCAGTCCTGTACAGAATTTTCCCAGAACGAATCGGGGAAAAAAAGAGACCTAACAGACATGGAGAACCATTTTGCATAATAGATTCCGTACTGCTTGCATGCTAGTGCAAATAGAAACGAATTCCTCGGCGCATTCGACGTAACAATCGAATCGGTAATCAAGCCGGCCTCGATAATCGAATCAGACCGGGTACACGTGTAATTGAAATTTCACAGTCGACCAGCGCAAATACCATGGCGCGCAGCCATTCTTCGAAATTACGCCAAATTTCGTTTTGCTTATCAGGGACATAGATGACACAGGACGAGTTACTCTCGCGGGAATTCCAATAGTAAATCTGTTCGATTTAAAGACTAATATGAACTATAAGGGTCAATAACTGGCAATGAAATATTAACCGAAGGGAAACATTGAATGAGAAAATTTGGCGGGGATTGATGATTTACCGCGACATATTTAATTAATTTTCGACATCAACTATCTTAATAATTAAACCTCATACTAAAATTTCTATTAAACTTTTACTATCTTAGTAATTAAACCTCATACTAAGATTTCTATTAAACTTTTACTAAGATCAATTCGAAACTAAGTAATGAAGCTTCGCGTATTCACTTATTTTCCTCTTAAATTTATACTTATTATACTCTTAAATTTAATTCGCCAAGAGCCTTTATAGCTCTCGATGTTAAGCAATTACTGGTAATTGAGGTAAAGGAAATTCATTAGAAACTTTGTTATTTTGCTAAGGAAAGGGTAATATTGGTGAAACACAGTTCGTGTAGCCGCGATAAAAATAATTTAAAGTACATTGTGACTTCGCGAAAGAATCTTAAAAACAAGGCAGAAGTAGAGAAATCCTAGTGATCGAAACGAAAACAATTGAAACACTGAGTAAATCAAGAAGCCACGAGTACTCTTGGCAAACGATTAATTACCATAGAGCGGGATAGATACTCAATTATCGCAACCACTCGCAACGGGGCGCTTTTATTCCCGTAGGCAGAGTCGGTATCGGGGTGTAGCTCAGCAAGAGGGTAAGCAACCGACGTGGCCGAGCTTTAACGTAAAAGAAAGAAAACAAAGCGGCAGAACGAAGATCCGAAGAAAGCGGCGGCGAGTCGCCCCTCGACCTCGCCGTCGCCTTCTTCGTGCAAATTGACCCCAGCAAAAAGAAAGCTTTTCTCGCAAACTACCATGCCTTTCCGCCGTCCCCGCGAGCGCGAACGAGCTTTACCATCCACCCTCGATGCGTGGCTTTGTTCCGGAAGTCCCGCGAATCCGTGGAGCGTGCACAACCGGGGAAATAATGCGCCAATGTCTCTCGCGATTCTTCAGTAATACCAAGCGACGGTCGTTATTGCCATGGGACCGGCCCGGATAACCAGCCCCACGAACCTCGAATAATTTTCTATAGTCCAGAACACCTTGTTTTCAGCGTGTTCACTACGACTGCGGGAATGCCGGGGACGATGAACGCGAGCTCAATACATTCTCTGCGTAACGACAGGTGCGCCGACATCGGTTAGCTTAAATCACGCTTAATCTTCCGCGTTTATCTACGTTGTACAGAATGCGAAGAAAATGTTGACACAAGAACGTAAAGAATTAATGGCACTTGTAAAAAAATAAGTGATAAAATCTTTATGAAACTAAGTTTGAAAACCATTTGTATTTAGAAGCCTTGTCATTCTTGTTCATAGTCTTCTTTGTCTACTATATATTCTATATTACGTGTGGTATATTTAAAAATTGTATGACAATCTTATCTATTATTTTGTTTTCAAAATAATTATTTTATACATTTTATATTCTACAAAGACTGCCGGCAGCAATAATGCCAATGACATACCAATTTCGAAATTAATTCGCGAGCCCTCCATCCGTGCGTTTTATTCATCTTACATCCGGTACTGCAGCATCCATCCATCCTCTTTTTTTTCTCTCTCCCACCCTCCCTCCCTCTCTCTCTTTCTCTCTCTTCATGGTTATTATTTCGATGTAAACACAAAACTTGCATCCCGGAAGAAAGATATACGACGCAGCGACAGCTTTCCGCCGTGTACACACCTGCCGAGAACGTGTGCGCCGGATTTTTTTTTCTAAAGACGGAAGACACACAGGGAATGCGTAATACGCCGGACAATGCTCGACACGCTTTCCAGCGACTTCACTTACATTCACGCATGGCTCGCACCATTATATTTTCAAGAACGTCCACTTTGTGCCGTTTGCGGGACTCGC